GCAAGGGGGTTGGGAGAGCAGCTGGTCCCCCTGGCAGCTGTGCTCACAGCTGGCTGAGGGCCAGCGGGGCTGGGTGGCATCCAAGGGAAGGGCACCGAGCAGGGGAAGGGCACCGAGCAGGGGAAGGGCACCAAGCACAAGGCCTTGGTGCCCAGCATTTGCAGATGCAAGTGGCAGCAGAGGACCAGGGCTCACAGCTGGGCTCCTGCAGACAGGAAAGCACTCGGATGTGCCGTGCAGGGTGGTTTGGCTGACAGTCAGCAGCCACGCAGTCTGGAAGGGTTTGGTTCCGTTTCTTCCTTCCATGGTTTCACAAGGGCTACTCCTGTGCTGAGGCTTGGTGGGGTTCATTTCCTGTAATTGCTGGGGCTATGCCAGCACACGGCCTTGGGGTGCCGGTGCTTCCCAAAGTTTCTGGCTTTGTGGAAATGCCAAATGCTTGCCCTTGTGGCATCGGTTGTGCCGAGGCTGTCTGGGCCACAGTGGAGATCCAGAGCCTGGTCCATGCTCAGGGTTCCTGAGGCCTCGAGCTGCAGGAAATGGGACAAAGATGAGCAGAGGGGCTGGCAGAGATGAGGTACAGCCGTGTCCCCTCTCCCCTCACTGCCCATGATGAGCAGCAGCCCCTCTGTCCTCCCTACCTTCCACTCAGACAGTGCCTCCAGTCCTGGGGCTGCCGCTGCTGCTCCTGCATGGGGAAATAAACCACTTTGATTTTGTTTCTTAAGCAAATTTGAGGTTTTGGGGTTTCTCTTGCAGAAACAACTTTTTATTTGCAAATCCTGATCCTTGTGCGTGCAAGAATAGAGCTTGTTGAGACTTAGGGTTTGGCCTGTGGATTGGGAAAATATTTTTTGAAGATACTTACTGTTTTTTCTAGCAGTTCCTCTGACTTCTCTCTCTCCCTATTGTATGGCAGGCTCTGACCACCCACATTCCCACAGGGAATCTTTGTGCAGTTGTGGGAGGGAAGAGTTGTGTTTGCGTTGGGTGTGGTGAGTGAACACGGGGGCTGCAACCTCCAGTTCCCATCGCCCTATGCCTCTCTCCTTTGGGGATCCCTGGGGCATACCCTGGCCCTGGGGTGGGAGTTGGAGGGACCTGGTCAGAGGCATGGGGAGGGCTCATGGAACCATCACAGAATTATGGAATGGTTTGGGTTGGAAGGGACCTTAAAGATCTTTTTGTTCCAACCTTCTGCCATGGGCAGGGACACCTTCCACTAGACCAGGTTGCTCAGAGCTCCAGCCAGCCTGCCCTTGAACACCTCCAGGGCTGGGGCATCCACAACTTCTCTGGGCAAGGGGAATAGGAGGACAGCTCTGTGTCTCCCAAGAGCCCCCTCATCCAGCTCTGAGCAGGGAGCAGGATGGTGAGCTCCTGGGTCAGGGCACAAGGGGAGGCAGCGAGGGAGCGTCTCTCTGGCTGCAGCGTCGCTGCAGTGGCACCTGCGCTGGCTTTGCCTTTGTCCCCCCCGAGGCAGCGACTGCAGAGTAATTAAGGAAAGGTGAAGCTCTGTGGGTTGATTAAAAGTCAGGAGCTCTCTCCAAAGCACAGAGCTCATGTCCTGTTTTGGCACAGGCACTTCCGACGTGGAGACGGAGCTGATCTGGTGGCTCCATCCATCACTGGGGGGTCACAGACACCCCTCCTGCTCCGGTCCCCATCCCTCACAGCCCGCAGCATGGAGTGGGAGGCTCTCCCTTCCCCTCCTGTCCCTTCCCCTCCTGTCCCCCCTCACTCGTCTCGGTTCTTCCAGCAGCAGCTCTGCCCCCCCACCCTGCTCCTTGAGCAAAGGGGAGACGTGTCAAGCCCCTTCCCCCCGGCTTTGCTGGAGCCTTGCTGGGGCATGGTGGGCATGGAGCCAGGTGCTGGGTAGGTGCCTCCATGCCCAGCTCCTGCCAGCAGCTTTCACTTTGGGCGTTTCATAATTAATCAGCCACTTTGGGCCGAGGGCCGTTGCCGTCCGGGGTTGGCGGGGTGGATGCTGCGGTTTCCATCTCTGGACCATAAAATGCTATCACTGTGCTTGGAATGAGGGATGGGCAGAGGGAAGATTCTGTAAATTGGTGGGATTTTTATTGTTTGAGGAACACTGTAGCATTGAGCGGGATAATAAAATGTTTTGCTAATCATAACAGCCTTGAGGTGATAAACCAGCCGTCCATTTGTGCTGTGAAATGTCTGTGGATTCTTTGCTGATGTGATTTAGAGCCTGTTGGAGCCAGCTGGTGCTCTGTGTCTGTATCCCTGGCCAGGCTCTCTGGGATGGAGTGCTGGGGTGCTCAGCTGGAATCCATAGTGTGGCTCGGGGCTCTCACCTCTCAGGCTTTTCCAAGTGAGAAAGCCAGTGTTCGAAACTGTCACACACTGCCTTAATCCTCAGGGCGTCAGATTCTGATGGTTTATTTTTCTAGGTACCCAGCAGTGAGAATAAATTCCTCCTTCCTTCTGAGCTGATTGTGTGCTAAGATGCAACTGGAGCACCCTCTGTGTGATTTGGGTGCTTGAACACTTATCCTTGCTGACTTTTGACTGTTTCTTTCAGTTTTATTTGGGATTTTTTTGGATTTGGTTTTTGTTGGCAGTGCAACTGCAAACCATGATGCTGCTAGTGCTATTTGGGGATTTTTCCAAGGGGCACAGAACCCTGAAGTGCTCTAAACTCCCGGTGTTTTTACTGTGATTGGCCTCTGGTTCTGGTGGATGTTCTGGGTTCATGTCCTGCAGTGACTTTTCAGCTTTAGTCACCAAACCTGTCCTGCCGTCGGTGGTGCTGCTTTCGCCACATGGTGGCTGAAAGCAGCTTCTTTTGTTGTTGTGGGTTTTTTTTTTTGAGTGCTGCAGCTTAATTTTGTGCATATCAAAGTGACTCTGAGGCTCCAGCTCGCCTGCAGCAGAGGTGGGTGCAGAGCCTCTGTTCCACTGCCAGCGCTGCAACATCGATTGGGGTGGGCAGGTTGGACCCTGCTCGCTACAGATGGCTGTGCCATGGGACCAATCCCGATCCATGCCATGCTGGGGCGGATGAGCACGCGTTGGGGGTTGTGCAATGGGGCTGACGCTGCACTCGGTGACCGCAGCCGCCCCCGCGGTGCCTCCGTGGGCACCCGGCGGGGATCAGGGCTGTCCCGCGCTCGCTGTGTCCCGGAGCTGCTCATCAGAGTGGGTGAATGCTTCGAAATTTGTTGATCAGCTTTTGTTCGGGCTGCCTGGAAACAGATGGAGAGACGCCTCATGTGTCTGTGTGCCAGCAGTGCCAGCAGCCTGTCCCTTCCTGCTGCCCTCAGTCCCCGACAGCTCTTCCCGGCTTTTTCCTCCCAGAGGCTTGACCGCTCTGCTGTTTGCTGCTGCCCCCTCTAAGCAGGATGGGAGTATCCCTGTCCTGCTAAGGGAGGTACCTGGGAGTCATCAGGTGTTTTGAAACGTGATGTTGCCGCCAGGCAGGGACCAGGAGAAAAAGAGCTGCTGTCATGGCCACCACTTGGCAGTGACAGAGTTGGGCTGAGCTCAGGTTGTGATGAAGCAGTTGTCCTCAGGCAAGCTGTGTTTATTTTTGTAAATGAACTGTAGACTACTAATTAAGTAATTAAATATTGCTGATTTGTAAAGATGTGAGTTGGATATATTAGGACATTTCTTGCTGACCACAGTTCCTGCTGCTGTTCCGCCACAAAGGCGCCTCCAGTTCCTCATCCTTTTATTAAGCACCAACAAATTGAGCTCAAATTTTCCAGGCCACACCTACGTCTTTTGGGGAAGCTGCAGTTAGTGACAATCATTTCTGGGAATGTTTTAAAGAAAAAATGCAGCTTCTGATCGTATGGAGCTTCTTGTAGACGCTGTTTTTGCGGTTGTTTTCACGCTTTAAAAAATGGGGTCAATGTTGTTTCATCACTGCAGGTGGTGCTGGGCCCGGCGGTGCTGGCACACGGGGCTGTTCACGGTGCTGCTGGTGGTTTACCCGCTCCCACCGCAGGTGCTGGGTCATGAGGCTGTGGTTGCTCAGAGCTCAGTGCTGGAGCCCGGCTGGCAGTGACACCCTGCGCAGTGTCAGGAAGGAAGTCAGCAAACGAGTGCATGTCCGTGTGTATGTCTCTGTGTGTCTGTGCACAGGCAGGAGCTGGAGCTGTTTCCGGAGCGGAGTGTCTTGGGGTGGGCTGTTAAACTGCTGCTATTCCCTGATCCAGAACATTTGTGGCACTGCAGAAGTGCATCCAGGGATGCAGATGCTGCTCCGTGGGCATGCAGCCTCGTCCAGAGCTGAAATCCCGTGGTCCTTGGAGGCCAGGCCAGGATCGAGCAGGAAGCCTGGCAGGGAAGAAGGGCAGCATGTGCACTGCGGATAAGGCCTCCTGAAGTTCATGCTGGGTGGAGTTTCCCTCTGGTTTCTTGTTGATGCTGAAGCAGAGGGGCCGGTGACACTCGATGGCAGGAGAGGAGGAGACTTGAGTGTCTGGAATAGCAATTAATGTCTGTCCTTGAAATGTTCTAAAAAACATCCTCCGAGGCCGGGACACTGTCATGTATTGAGGGGCAGCTGACTGGGAAGGGCCAAGTGGCAGCCGCCCTATGACAAACCAGCGCCCTGTGCACCCACTGTGATCCTTGGAGCAGAGTGACATCCTCCCATCCTGCTGGGTCCGGCCCCTCGGGGTGCTCTGCTGCAGCACAGTGTCTCTGAGCTGTCCCTGGGATGTGCCTGCAGGATGGCTCCAGCCAAGGCACTGCAGGCAGCTGCCGGGCTCCCCGGGGAGGGGGCAATCCCTGTGGTGCAGGTGCCATGTCCTTGTGGGAAACCTGGTGTACAGGGGTTCGGCTCCCTACCTGGAGGGATTCATGTGCTCTGAGGGGCTGGTGCTGCTGCCTTGGGGGGGTGGTGAGGCTGGAGAGAGCTTTGTTCCTTCGGCTGGAGCCGGGAGGTCCTGGCAGTATGGGCAGCTCCTGGTGCCAAGGCTTTGCTGGGACCACCTTTCCCTGGGAGGGACAAGAGGGAGGCTGTGGGCAGGAGTGGAAGGTGCCAAGGAGGAGAGCACATATGTGCAATAAATAAATCAACATTATGGCTTCTCTTCCCCATCAGGTGTTCTGGAGGTTGCAGCATGAAGCTCGGCTAGCAGCAAAATGACCTTATGGGGGCAAGGTAAGCACACATGGGTTGTTGGTTCCCCTGGGATGCTGGGTGAATGTTTCACATCTGTCCACACCAGCACTGGTGCCCCATGAATACTGTTGCCTTCACAAGCTGACAGGAGGTGGTGTAAGCCTTGTTCATGCTAATGGTTCATCAGCATGTGAATAAGGAAGGCTCTGTGCCTGTAGGACCTCTTGTCACTCTGCTGTCACTTCCCTGCTGGTTCCCATCCTCCCCCATGCTCTGGGTGCCAGCCTTGCCCTGATGGTGGTGAGGGATGGAGCCCCTGGCTGTGGGTCACAGCCCCTCCCTGTCCCCTGGTGTCCAAGCTGCACTCGGGAGACTTCAGCCTGGGGTTGGCTGCTGGTACTTTGATTTCTGCTGCCATGTCTCCAGTGCCTGCCATGATGTGCTAGAGAAGCCCCCGAGAGCTCCCTAATTCCTGCTGGAGTGAGAAGCTCTCAGAGCCAGTTTGGGAATCTGAACGACTGTTGTCTCTGGAAGGGTTGTCTTTGATCAGACAGCTATGCGCCTAATTATGCCATGATTCCACCACAGTGTCTGCTCTGGAGGAAATGACCCATCCCTCTTCCCTCACAGACTAATGAGCCCCATATATTTTAGGAAATTCTTAACAGAGAATTGCACAAAGAGTTGAGAGCCAGCCAGGCTGTTTGTGGTTGCTCCCATCCTGCTGCCAGACATGCTCGTGGGTATTGTTCAGTCCACCTGGCACACCGGGATGATCCCACTGGAGAAGTTTGTTCCATTCCAGCCCTCCCAGGGCCTGTGGCTGCCATGCAGGAGCAGAGGCAGAGTCCCAGAGCACAACAGTGAGGAGAAGCCATGCTCCTGTGGGCAGCTTCCTTTTCTGCTGCTTCGTGGATTGAGAGCTTCCCCACACTGGTGGTGTTGTGTGGGAGTGGGGGGGCTGTGTCCCTGCCCACCAGACAGGCAGGACAGTCCCCAGGCACACAGAATCATTTAGGTTGCAAAAGACCTTCAGGATCATTGAGTCCAGCCTGTGACCCATCACCACCTCGTCAACCAGACCAGAGCACTGAGTGCCACATCCAGTCATTCCTTGGACACCTCAGGGGATGGGGGCTCCACCCTGAGCAGCCCATTCCAGTGCTTGACCACCCTTTCTGTAATGAAATTCCTCCTGATGTCCAACCTGAACCTCCCTGGCAGAGCTCGAGGCCGTGTCCTGCTTGTGGTGCTGGTACCGCAGCCCCCGGCACTCAACATGAGCACATGAGCGAGTCCCTTTGTTCCCTCTGCAGCTCAGATGAAGCTGCTGGAGCATCTCTGTGGGAACTGCTCCCTGTCAGCTGTTTTTTGGGAGAACAGAGTACTTCTGTGCTCCAGCCTCCTTTCACACTGCAGCCCTTCCTGCTAATTAGCCTGTCTTGGTCTGCATCACCCTAATTATTCCAGTTGGCCCTAAATCCTGGAATCCACTGCCATCCTTTGAAATGGGTCTTGTGGCATTTGCATTTATTTTTGGGTGAACATTTGAATATATTTACATGACTGAAATAGATGAAGATAGCAGGAAGGAGCAACACTTGCCTTGTTAATGGCTCTGACTCTGCTTGGTGCTGCAAAAATACCAGAGCTGTCGGGTATCCCTCTGATCTACATCCCAAGAAAGCCACACACTTTTATCTGAGACCTGGGGATGCAGTTGAGACTGTTTAACCTGGGTATGTCACTGAGCAGCTGGCCAAGATGGACCAGGTAGTAAAGAGCCACAAAAATAGTTTGGTGTTGATGTTACTGTGCTGCTGGGCTGGGAAAGTGTGTCCCTGGGCTGGGGAGGGGTGTCCCTGGGCTGGCACAGGGGCTCTGCCTGGGCAGAAGTGGATAAAAACCGAGTGGGCGGATGGGAACAATGGAGTGGGATGTCAGGGGCTGGAAGTGGGGAGCAGAGCAAGTCCCCAAGTGCTTGGAAGGGAGGGCAGGGGCAGGGAGGCTGCCGGGCTCCGGGCTCTCTCCTGCCTACTCCCTGCTCTGCACGGGCCCCTGCACAGTGTGCTCCTTCGGGGGAAGAGTTGATAGGAGAAAACACTTTTCTGGAGCAGTTCTTTGGCCTGTCAGCAAAACAGAATGCACGGACGGCCCGTTCCTTCCACTCCATTCAGCTCCCGCCCCAGCCACATAATCACAAAGAACTGGAAATCCTGGGGTGAGCCCAGGGTAGGATTGCAAAACCTGCACTCGCAACTGGGGCGGATGGGGGGAGGGGGTGGGAAGCGGTGCCAGCCTTCCCGGGAGTCCCTCTGGGCACGCAGCAGAGCTGGGCACTCACAGAGGCTGCAGCCTTCCTGCTGGATGTCCTACCGAGCCCTGGAAAACCCAAAGAGTCTTTGTGCCAGATGAAGTTTCAAGGATTTCTCTGTCAGGTCAGTCTCCGGAGGCAGAGCAGGGTGTTGAACACTGTGTGTAGCTGTTCAGTGTCAGATGGTTGAGTTTCTCAGTGTTTCATTCTAACGGCTTCTCCTGACTCTGACACTTAAGATTTGCATGAGAGGCGTTTGTTTTTCTCTTATTTCAGCTTCCCCCTCCCTTTTGACCGCAGGGTTAAACTAAAGAAAATGTAGGAAGGAGGCAGGTGGCTGAAATGTGAGCAGTGGTGGAGTGCTGACTCGGGTTTGGGAGGAATAACTTTAGAGAGGGTTTGGGCTTCATCTGGGATGCAACAGGCTCTCTGTAAAGATTTTCTTTAAGGACTCAGTGGGTATACATGGCCCCTCCTCTCCAAAACATTCCTGGAGCTTTGCTCCAGCTGTAAACCTGTGTTTCTGGGAACACAAACAGCACAGAAATTGTCTCTTTGGGTGTGCACTGACAGAGACTTTAATTACCTGCTGGGTGGAAGGCACCGAGTCTGGGAGTTGCTGATAAGTGAAGGAGATGATGAAATCCTGGATGGTGTCAGCATCCCGCTGGAGCCAGGCTGGATTCTGGGCTGGAGTATGGGTCCTGCTCCTCTGACCATGCCATTTCTCTTGCAGATGCCCGTGGGGTTGGACACTTGCTAGCTGAGAGCTGAAGTCCCCAGCCTGTGCCCAGGAGAGCAGGATGCGGGTCACCATGCGGAGGGTGCTGCTGGTGCTGGGCTCGGTGGCTGCCTTGATGGTGACCCTGCACCTTGGCCATCAGGTTCTGGAGTGCCAGCAGGTCCTGAGCGAGAGGAGGCACAGGCTGATGAGACCCGAGAACGAGGAGCTGGTCATGATGGACGCCAACCACGTCGAGTACCGTTACAGCAAGGACATGCCCCTGATCTTCATCGGGGGGGTCCCACGCAGCGGCACCACGCTCATGAGGGCCATGCTGGACGCCCACCCCGAGGTGCGCTGCGGGGAGGAGACCCGCATCATCCCCCGCGTGCTGGCCATGCGCCAGGCCTGGTCCAAGTCCGGGCGGGAGAAGATGCGCCTGGACGAGGCGGGGGTGACGGACCAGGTCCTGGACGCCGCCATGCAGGCCTTCATCCTGGAAGTGATCGCCAAGCACGGCGAGCCCGCCAGGTACTTGTGCAACAAGGACCCCTTCACGCTCAAGTCCTCTGTCTACCTGTCCAGGCTGTTCCCCAATTCCAAATTCCTCCTGATGGTGCGGGATGGCCGGGCCTCAGTGCACTCCATGATCACACGGAAAGTGACAATCGCGGGCTTTGACCTGAACAGCTACCGGGACTGCCTGACCAAGTGGAACAAAGCCATCGAGGTGATGTACTCCCAGTGCCTGGAGGTCGGCCGGGCCCGCTGCCTGCCCGTCTACTACGAGCAGCTGGTGCTGCACCCCGAGCAGTCCATGCACAACATCATGAAGTTCCTGGACATCTCCTGGAGCGACACGGTGCTGCACCACGAGGAGCTCATTGGGAAGCCCGGCGGGGTGTCGCTTTCCAAGTGAGTCTCAACTCCTTCCTCAGCTTTTCAAGAAGCATTTTCATTACACGAATCAGGTCAAGGCTAAAACTGGGGGCAAAGCTGCGTTGCTGGTGTTTTTGTGTGATTTTTGGGGGCAGAAGGAGCAACACATCAGTTGTACTGCAATAGGGTTTGTGTTTCTGAGTAAGAGATGGCTTTAATGCTCCCAATCTGTTGTACTCCACAGAGCAGCTTGTCAAGCAAGGATTTCAGGAGCAGGTGACTGTTTAATCTCTCTTGACACTGCAGAAATTATTTCAGTCTCTAATTTGGAAAGAACTGCTTGCTCTGAAACGTGAGCTCTTTAATGCCTCTTTCTCTACCCGTCCTCAGATGCCTCCTCAGTGTGATTAGTTGTGCTGCAAATGATGATGAGCAGCAGTTCTTGCCAGGTCTGAGGCTGGTGTTGCAGAATCAAAGCAATCCCTGCTCCGTGGAGGCACACCCAGTACTCCCTCCTGGCCTCTCTGTGTCTTGGGGGGTGTTTACCTGCTCCCACTTTCTTTTCCTCTTTTAATTCTTTTTCTTTTCTAAGTGAAAGGCTTAAGTCAGGCTTAGCAAAATGTAATCAGCTGTGTAAGGGAATTATCCGAGTCTCCGTATCAATTGCTGGTGCCCCGGTGGTGAGGGCAGCAGGAGCCAGGGGGGATGTGCAGCTGCTCCGGTGCTCTGGGATGCCGTGGGTGTGCAGCCGGCTCTGCTTCCCTGTTTGCTCTGAGGAAATCTTGCCCAGATTCCTTAAACAGATAAGATTTTGGATTTCCCTAGAGGCCCTGTGGTGCATCTGTGCTACGGCCCACACATCTTACATTATTTTCCTGTAGTAAGGAGAGGTGTCCTGGTAACACCCTGACCCCAGTGAAGGATGAATCCCCCCTCTAGGACAAGAGGAAGCAGTCTCAAGTTGTGCTGGGAGAGATTTAGATTGGATCTTTTGGAAAATTTCTTCATGGATAGAGTGGTCAGGCATTGGAACAAGTTTCCCAGGGCGGTGGTGGAGTCACTCTTGCTGAAAGTGTTCAAAGACACGTGGATGTGATGCTTAGGGGCACGGTTAGTGGTGGCTTTGGCAATGATGGGGGAACAGCTGGAATTGATGATCTTAGAGGGCTTTTCCAGCCTTAACGATTCCATGATTCTATACAGGGGGACCCCACCTCTGGGGCTGTGCAACCCCCTGCCGGGTGTGCTCCCCCAGATCAGGGCTGTGAGGGGACAGGGTTGCCCTAGGACTGCCCCTCTGTGCCTCACCCTGGCTCTGCCTCAGGTGTGCCTGGCAGGTGATGAGTGTTTGTGTCCTGGGAGTAGAAGGGACATGTTGGGGCTGGTCAACCTGGAGAAAAGAAGGTTGTGTAGAGACCTCACAGCACCTCCCAGAATCTGGAGGGAAGCCAGTGAGGGACTGTTCATCAGGAACTGCAGTGACAGGACAAGGGCGAATGGCTTCAATTTCAAATGGGGGAAATTTAGGTCAGATTTATGGAAGAAATTCTTCCCTGTGAGGGTGGTGAGGCCCTGGCACAGGGTGCCCAGAGAAGCCGTGGCTGCCACATCCCTGGAAGTGTTCCAGGCCAGGTTGGATGGGAGTTGGTCTAGTGGAAGATGTCCCTGCCCATGGCAGAGGGGTGGGATAGGATGAGCTCTAAAGTCCCTTCCTACCCAAACCATTCCATGTTTCGATGTTGAGGTGACAGTGAGGCTGGCTGAGGCTGTTCTGTGTGACCCCAGCACGTGTGTGAAATCCAACTTTAGTGTCTTTTGTTTTTTTTTCTTTTTTTTCCCCAGGATAGAAAGATCCACAGACCAGGTGATCAAGCCGGTGAACATGGAGGCGTTATCTAAATGGATCGGGCACATCCCGGGGGATGTGCTGCAGGACATGGCCCACATCGCCCCGATGCTCGCCAGGCTGGGCTACGACCCCTACGCCAACCCCCCCAACTACGGCCACCCCGACCCCCTGGTTGTCAACAACACACACAGGGTGAGTGTCACCCCCACGGGGGAGCAGAGCCGGGGGGCTCACAGAGCCCCTGGAGCAGAGGAGGCTGCTGAGCCAGGTCAGGAGAGAGCAGGGGGGAAACGGACATAGAATCCCAGAATCACTGAGGCTGGAAAAGACCTCCAAGACCACTGAGTCCAACCTGTGCCTGATCCCCACCTTGTCACCCAGCCCAAAGCACTGAGTGACACATGGACACCTCCAGGGATGGGGACTCCACCACTTCCCTGGGCAGCTCCTTTTAATGGCTGACAACTCTTTCTGTGAAAACATTCCTCCTGATGTCCAACCTCCCCTGGCACAGCTTGAGGCCATTTTCTCTTGTACTGTTCTTGTTCCCTGGGAGCAGAGCCCAACCACTCCTGGCTCCCTCTCCTGTCAGGGAAGGTCCCCCCTGAGCTTCCTTTTCTCCAGGCTGAGCCCTCCAGCTCCCTCAGCCACTCCTGATGCTCCATACTCTTTCCCAGCTCTGTTCCCTTTTCTGAACACGCTCCAGCACCTCATTGTCTGTCTTGGAGTGAGGGATCCAGACCTGGACACAGGATTTGAGGTGCAGTCTTCTCCTTGGGAAGGCTGGGGATGGCTGACAGCTCCCCTGAGGTGATTCCAGCCCAGCTGCGTGTTCCAGGTGGAGCCTGATGGGGCTCATGCTGACGGTGCTGCCGATGGTTTTGTGGTGGTGTTTGTTTGTGGTGCTGTGGCAGATCCTGACTTGTCCCTCCCTGACCCAGCCCTGCTCCTGAACCCCGGTGTGGGCGTTCCTGGTGTGTGCTGATGGTTTCTTTGGGCACTGTACCCTGGCTGGGACCTGGGACAACATTCTGGCTGTGCTGTGTCTGTGTGTAGCTCCACAGCCACTCCCGTGCTCTCACCAGGAACACACGTGGAGGCTTGGAATGCCTTTGGGCAAAACCAACAGATTTTTCCTTTTTTTTTGAATATTGACTCATGTCCCTGGAGCAGAACTGGAAGGAAGGAGCTGCAGTCCCAGCCAGCAGTTAGGAGGCAGAGGGAGGTTCCCATGTTTGGGGTGGGGCTCCACAGCCCCCCAGTTCCCTGGGACAGTGCCCATGGATGAGGTGTCCTTTGTCATGGTGGTGGGAGCAGGGTGGGACCAGTCCCCAGGGTGCTGTAGGCAGGCAGGGAAGTGGCAGCACTGACTGGGAGGTGGGAAGAGCTTCCCTGGAACTGCTCTGTACTCCCAGCACTCTGGTCTCTCACAGATCCTCAGTGCCTGCTGAGAGCTGTCCTGGGACACGAGTGGTTTGGGGGAACATCTGCCCTGGGCAGGCTCAGGGCCACTCTGGGTCTTTCAGTGTTTTTTGGATGAATTTGGAGAACTGGCATGGTGGTAAAACCAAAACGTTGTCCCCTCTCAGACTAAGGGGGGAGTTGGGAATTGCTTGTGTCGGTTCCCTGCTCCCTGTCTTTATAGTCAAAAAGGATGAAACCTCCCATTTTTGCCCCAATATGACCCCATGATGTAGATCAAACTCCCATCAGAGTGTTCCACCTGGTTCAGGTGTCCTGGGACATGGGACACATGGAATGGGGTGGATTGGCTGATGCTCATGGAGTGCCCCAGAAGGGTCACTCCAGGTTCTCTTTCCCACAGGTTTTAAAGGGGGATTATAAAACACCGGCCAATCTGAAAGGTCACCTGCAGGTAAGAGTCTGGTGTGCCCTGGGGGGTTGTGTTTTTGGGTTAATCTGGGGTGTCTGGTCCCTGGCTCCCTCCTAGGGGTGTCTGCAGGCTGGGAATGTCCCTGCTCCCTTCCCTCAGGGAACGTCCCTGCTCCCTTTCCTGGGGAATGCAGATGGTGGCTCAGAGCTGACCCTTCTGTTTCTGGGTTATTTCAGGTCACTCAGAACACGTCATCTTCTCACTAAGAAAATTAATGATTTCCAGGTAAGACCCTTTTAATTTTGGGATTTGGGCGAATCTGCCCACATTGCTCCAGGATTGGCATTTGGTTTGTGTAATTTCTGTGGATTAGCCAGGGCTCCAGGCACGCTTCTGATGCCAAAGATCATTCACAGTTGCCTTAGATCTTCCAAACAATGCTGCTGTGTGGGACCATTTGTCAGGATTTCTCTTCCTGAGCTCTGGGAACAGGCTTAAAGCAGCCAAATGAGAATCAGCCACTTGGGAGGGTCATTGCTGCCTGTCCCCACAGGCAGCACAGGGATGGGATGTGGAATGTGTGGATGGGCTGAGCTGTTCCCCAGCTGCCTCCAAGGACGTGCCATGGACCTGAGGAAGGGGATAAAAAACAAAGGGAAACATGATGGGAAACAAAGCTGCTGCCTTGGGCTTCTGCTCCAGAGACAACTGTTGACGTGTTGGATGTTTTTCCCTCTCTACCGTCTGCGCTAAAGCATAAAATGTCATTTTTGGTACTAAAACTGACCCTTTGAAAACTAATTCCTGTGTAAAAGCAGTCGGTTCGGCTAGAAGAAGATCAGAAGTGCTGAGAGAGGATCAGGAATTGTGTGTCCAATGTCCTGGGCTGGGATTTGGTTCCTTGCTGACTGTGTTTTGTGTCACAGGGGCTTTAAACCATCTGTTGGGCACTGCTGTGCTGGTGTGTGGGATCCTGCTCCTGAGGGGATCCTGTTCCCAAGGAGATCCTGCCCCTGAGGGGATCCTGCCCTGTGTTCTCCCTGTGTTTCTCTCTTCCAGAACGTTGCAAATGGCCTTTTGTTGCCCAAGAAGGAAGAGTTTGCACTGGCCCATGGAAATCGGTTCTCCAAGCATATTGCTTGCTCCTACTGTTGCCAAATGACTGCGCTCCAGGAATGTATTTGCATTTATTTGCAAAGGCCAAATGTGCTCCACAGCGGGAATGTCCTCAGCCTCTCCCAGTGCTCCGTGGGAAAAGCAGCTGTGGGAATCCAGGCTCGGGGGTGGCGGGAGGAGGTTCTGTGTGTGCCGTGGCCGAAGGACTCATTACATCTCGTGTCAGTGTCTTGTGACGCCGTTCCCTGTTCCTGGGAACAGCCCTCCCAGCGCTGCTGTTCTGTATTCCTGGGGTCAGGAACAGCCACCCTGGTCCTGCTGTTCTGTATTCCTTGGATTGGGAACAGCCACCCTGGTCCTGCTGTTCCCTATTCCCAGGGTGGGGAACAGCCCTCCCAGCCCTGCTGTTCTGTATTTCTGGGGTTGGGAAAGCCATCTTGGCCGCACTGTTCCCTAATTCCAGGGTTGTGAACAGTCATCCTGGGCCTGTTGTTCCTTATTCCCACGGTTAGGATCAGCCATCCTGGTCCTGCCATTCCCTGTTCCCAGGCTCAAGAACAGCCGCCCTGTCCCTGCTGTTCCCAATTCCCAGGGTCAGGAATAGCCCCCTGGCCCTGCTGAGACTTTGTGGTGCGCGTGCCCCCCTCCCCACACCCCCTCCCTGACCCTGCAGAGGCTATTGCAGAGTTAATATATGGCCCCCCTGCCCCCGGTGTTGGACACCATTAAAGTGTTGGTTTGATATTTAATATTTAATGTTTCAATATTTGATATTCAACAGCGCGGGCTCCGCCTCCCCCCCATACTCCGCCGGGCCGTAGAGTGGCGCTGCGGGCGCGGCCCAGGCGCGGCCGCTCCGCCCCTTGCGACTCTATGGTTTGTAGCGGGGTTTGAGCGTAACTGGAAGTAAACCGGAAGTGAACGGGGCTCATCCGGTTTAGCGGCGCGGCCGGAGCTGTCTGGGGATTCCTGAGCGGTCCCAGAGGGTCCTGGGGTGTCTGGGGATCCCTGAGCGGTCCCGGAGGGGCCGGGGGTGTCCAGCCGGGGGTCCCTGAGGGGCTGGGGGTCCCCGGGCCGGAGGCCCCGGCGCTGCCGCGATGTCGATGTCGCACCTGTACGGCACGGACGGTGCCGATGGCGTGGAGATGGAGAGTTTCGAGGTGTCGGACTGGGACCTGCAGAACGAGTTTAACCCGCACCGGCAGCGGCACCGCCAGACCAAGGAGGAGGCGACCTATGGCGTGTGGGCCGAGCGCGACTCGGACGAGGAGCGTCGCGAGCTTCGGCGGGAAGCGTACGGGCGGGAGCGGGGCCGGGCCGGGCTGTGCCGCCCCTGAGGCTGCCCCGGGCCGGGCAGCTCCCCCCGTGCCCTACAGGTTTCTCCTTCCCGTGGAGCTCCCCCCATTCCTTTTGGGTTCCTCCCGTTCCCTGGGTATTCATCCGTTCCCTAGAGCTTTCTCCTTTCCGTGAAGATTCCCCCGTTCCCTGAGGATATCCATGCTGTGGACACCCCCCTGAGCAGCCCAGCCTGGCCCGGGGCTGCCTTTGGGACCCCTCACCTGCGGGACTTCCCCTTTGCTCCCCGTCCCTGCAGTCCGGGGAGATGGAGGGGCACAACCAGCGTCAAACAGCTGGACCATCTTTAATATCTCATTTTGGGCGGGTGTAAGGCACAGCAGCCCCCAGGCTCCCCCAGGAAGGTGCTCTGGAGCAGCATTCCCTGACGGCGTGTTTCTCAGCTCCAGGGATTACTCCGCCCCCGTGAGCTTTGTCAGCGCCGGACTCAGGAAGGCGGCGGCCGAGGAACAGTCAGACGAGGACTCGGATGAGGATGAGAAACCTGGGAAGCAGGAGGAGATCCCCAAGGAGTTCGTGCCCAAGAAGTTGAAAACAGTGAGCTCTCCGGGAAACTTTCTGACCTGTGTAACTAATGTGTTTGTGAAACTGTAGCCAAAGCAGTGAAACTACAACAGAGCACTAAAAAAGGGGGAAATAATTAAACCAGAAACCCAAACCTGTCATTAAGGGAGGTGTTTTCTCTGGCTTTTGTATAATTGATAAAATAGCAACCATAATAATAAATCATTGATCTAATGATGTGGGGTTTGTGTTGTGTTTTAACAGGGAGGAAATTTCAAGCCCAGCCAGAAAGGCTTTGTAGGGGGCACCAAATCTTTCATGGATTTTGGCAGCTGGGAGAGACACACTAAGGGAATTGGGCAGAAGCTTCTCCAGAAGATGGGATATGTCCCTGGAAGAGGTCTTGGGAAGAATGCTCAAGGTACTGTCAGTGTGTTTGGTTGTTTATTGTTAACTGGTGATGTGGAGAAGAGAATGGATTCCTTAAAGAAATGCCAGCCCAAGGTGGCATAAACTTCACTGTTATTTTCCTGCCTCTCTTGTAAATGATTTAGGTCCTGTGGTGAGAGTCAGGCGTGTTAAAATTGGCCCGTGGTCATTTATTCCTCTTGGTATTTTGCAAGAGAGAAAATATTGAACAAAAATTGGGATATAAATTCCAAAGGATATAAAACTCCTCACAGAAAAAGAAATGTTATTTTATTTGGCAGAATAAAAAGGCAGTGAAATGTGGATGGGAATAATACTGGGCTTTGGCATTTTGGTGTGTGCTGGGATTAAGTGATTTTATAGGAAATTAGTGAGGTGGTGGAAGTACCCCAGTGCTGGGGGCAGAGTGCCAACGAGGGGCTTGGTGCTGTTCTGGTAACTGGTAGGGAAAACCTGGCTGTTGTGCTCCCCCAGCACACAAACTGCTCCTCCTGACCCCTCTCCATCCTCCCAGGCATCATCAATCCCATCGAGGCCAAGCAGAGGAAAGGCAAAGGTGCCGTGGGGGCCTATGGCTCTGAGAGGACCACTCAGTCCCTGCAGGACTTCCCTGTGGTGGACTCAGAAGAGGAAGCTGAGGAGGTATTGGTGTGATTCTTCTGTATCTGTTTCCCTGCTGTGCTGTGTGTACAAACTTCAGTTCTCTTGTTAGTTTCTGTGTCAGAGAAAACTGTTTGGGCTCATTTTAGGTAAGAAGCCAAAGATTGAGCATGTTGATTTAATTTAGACAGATTTTTCATGTCACTGTAATGTTTTTTGTTGGGTTTTGTCTCAGAGTCCCACCTACAAAAAGTCCCCCCAGGTAAATAGTCTTTGTCTTTTATTTAAATTTAAAAAAAGACCACAAACAACCCTGTAAGCACAGGCCATAGGGTGGGTGACTGACCCACAACATCTGTGGTGCTTTGGCACTCAGCTTCACCACTTCCCAGTTATTTTCTGTACAGAATTCCTCATTGATCTGATGGTTATTGTCCTGTAGAAAGAGGCAGCTTTGGGGCACGGCAAAGAGCAGCTCCCACAATTTCCTGTTGTTTTGTTCAGGAATTTCAGAAGGAGCTCAGTCAGTGGCGGAAGGACCCGAACGGAGGCAAGAAGAAGCCCAAGTACAGCTATAAGACAGTGGAAGAGCTGAAAGCCAAGGGCAGGATCAACAAGCAGCTTGCAGCCCCTCAGAAGGAGCTGTCCCAGGTCAAGGTAAGGCTGATACCCGAGAGGTGACACCTCTGAGAAACACTGTGTCCACTTTGGTGTCAAGGGTACATTTTAGCCACCAGTAACCTTGATAAAGCCAGTTCTAGGAGCTGCCTGTGCAGCCTTTTGGACTCATCACTGAACCAGGTAATAGCCCCCTGTGTCACCTGGACATCAGGTTTGGTTTAAAACATGCCAATTAGATTAAATGTGGGTGGGTTTGGTTTTTTTGAATTGCAAGTTGTTTAATAATTGTTTCACATTAGTCATAGATCAACACTCACCCACTTCTGAAAGCACAGTTGTCCTTTTTGGGATTATGCAACTAAACACATGGTTTGAACCTTCTTCTACCTCAAGGGGACAGTAAGGGATTTGTCTGGTGTGTACTTAGTAAAATTATTAATGTAAAATTACAGTGTCTTTAAAAAAGGTATAAAAGTACCTGAGTGCACTAACTAATAGAATACTAATGGCATGATCACTGCTTGTAGAATTGCTCAGTGAAACTGAGATGAGATGGAGGAGACTTTTCCAGCTCTGATTCCAGGTTGTCCCTTATTCATTCTAACTCCTCACGTCTGGAGAAGGCCATTGTGGAGGCAATCCCCTCCTGGAGATACAGTGTGTATTAACAGCCTCCTGGAGTAATTAAGATTTTAATGTGGAGTCAGGGATTACCTCCTTTAAATGTGTTCAGAAAGCAACTGGATGTGGCACTCAGTGCTCTGGTCTAGTTGACAAGGTGGGGATGGGTCAAAGGTTGGACTCGATGATCTTGGGGGTCTTTTCCAACCTCAGTGATCCTGTGATTCTGAGATACAATTTTATTTAAGACCTGTTTGTCCTTGTCTGTTGGCAGGTTATAGACATGACGGGCCGGGAGCAGAAGGTTTATTACAGCTACAGCCAGATCAGCCACAAGCACAACATCCCAGATGACAGCCCCCAGCAGCCCCTGGGCAAGGACTCCAAGCCCCAGGGGTTCGCCCTGCCTGAGCTGGAGCACAACCTGCAGCTGCTGATCGACATCACGGAGCAGGAGATCATCCAGAACGACCGGCAGCTGCAGTACGAGAGGGACATGGTGGTCAACCTGAGCCACGAGATCCAGAAGATGTCCGAGGTGCTCTCGCACGAGGAGAAGGCCATCAGCAACCTCAGCAAGGTGCTGGACATGGTGGAGGAGTGTGAGAGGCGGATGCAGCCCGGCTGTGAAAACCCTCTGACCTTGGATGAGTGTGCAAAGATTTTTGAGACACTTCAGGACAAGTACTACGAGGAGTACAGGATGTCAGACAGGGTGGACCTGGCAGTGGCCATAGTTTATCCTCTCATGAAGGATTATTTCAAGAACTGGGATCCCCTCAAGGTGTGTGTTGGGTTATCTGCAGTTCTCACTTGATGGCTTCAGCAGTCTTTTCTACTTTGTCTTAAGTGTCCTGGTCTAGTGGAATGTGTCCCTGCCCATGGTAGAGGGGTGGAAGGAGATGAGCTTCAAGGTCCTTTCCAACCCAAACCAGTCTGGGGTTCTGTGATTCTAAATTCCTGATCAGTCTGGTGAAAAAGAAAAGAAACAAAACCAAACCCTGCTCTGTGCCCCCTCTCAAACATTTGCTGAGGAGTTTGTAAGGTTAAAATCAATCCCTTTTATGAATGTTGGAAAGAAAAAGTAGGTGAAAAAAAGTCTCCAGTTGTTTTTTAGCAAAAGTAGGAGAGGTCTGTCTGTCAGGTATCACAGATGCTCAGTCAAGTCTCAATGCCATTTAGGCTGGGATGGGTAAGATAGGCTGGCCCTGTGAGGGGTGAGAATGGTGGCTGTAGCCCAGCACACCATCAGCCTGTTCTGTGCAGGTCCCAGCTGAAATTAATGGAAAAAGATAAAGACCTTGACCCCGAGTGCCTTATCATTCCCAGGACTGTTCCTATGGCACAGAGATCATAGCCAAGTGGAAGAGCCTTCTGGAAAATGACCAGCTGTTATCCCACAGTGGGCAGGACCTGTCGACGGATGCTTTCCACAGGTAAAGAGCAAATGAACTGTACTTTGTGCAGCATCTTCACATGCTGTTTCCTCAGGGACAGAAAAGAGCAGACACAAAGGAGCTTTCCTTACAGTTCCCTTGCTGTGCCTGTTGAAATCCAGCTGCCCTCTACAGAAGAGAAGCAGCTTTAACTAACAGTTCATATTTGA